ATTTTCAGCAATGGTCTATAGGGAAAAACATGTTGTTCCATCATAATCAGCATCTAACTACACAACTATCATCGAACGAGATTGAAAATTGTCAAAAACATATTTATTGAAACAACAAAATCAAAAGTATTTATTGTTGAAGATCTAAGTAAACCTAGATTAGCTTTATTTCATGCTGCACGTAATTCAGTCAGTGATGCTGAACAGAAATGTATTGTAACGAGAAATGGTCATTTCTGTCGTATACAACTTGATAAATCAATGCGACCAATAACTGTGGCTGATAATGTTCCTAAAGAAAAATAACATATTCGTTAACAAGATTCAGCCTTAGCTTCGCTTGTTTCAACATCGCAACAAAAGGTGGTTGTCAACAGGTGGATGTCTATTATATACACGAAATGATGTGATCTCTAACCGTGTCTTCCAGTTTGAAAAAAAATTCGAAACAATGCTTTTAGAACGCACCATTGCGCGAAGAAAACTTCCTTTTGGTTTTGTCTTATAGAAAAATCATTTTGCTTGTCTTTACCAGCGGTGTACATATGGAGCATTGTGTCAGTTTCGGACAGATCAGTATACACGAACGTTAGATGCCTTAATCGATACAGAAGTTACATAATTATTGGTAATTTAACTAACATTTGTTGCTGTGATTACAGTGTTTGCTATTAGTATAATATTTAACCTCTTATTAATACTGACATTTTATCAGAAGAACACACGTGAAGTTAAATTGTGGACTATATCTATTTTACTTATCAATCACTTGTCAGTTAGCTTTAATTATGTTTGTACTTAAATTTTTGACGACAACAGAAGTGATTATTAACGAACGTTTTAAGTAGATTTTATTAGAGCTCTCTTCAACTGTATTACCATCTGTTTATGACTGACTAACAGCATGTACTGTAATCGAACGCACAGTTAACGTAATTCAAGGTGTTCATTTTGATAAAAAATTGAGCATTAAATATGCAAAACTTAGTATTATTGTTGTATACCTTGCTGTTATACTTAGTTCATTACATGAACAATTTCATCAACAATTAGTTGACGATCCAAATATTGTTAATCGTAAATGATTTGTTCTAGAATTTAATAGCACCATGTTGGAAAAATATGATTTTTGCATAAATATCATTCATTTAGTTCTTGCAATTTTAATTATTTGCCTATCAACTATCATCTTTGTTTCAAGTACTATACGGCGAAAATCAATGTCAGCAGCGACAACTACAACAACAACAACTACTAGTGATATATTGAAAAAACAATTACTGTTGTATAAACAGTTTATAGTTAGTCCATTGATTCTTATTTCTTTAGAATTATCACGTTTGATATTCTCATTTGCATTTTCTTCTATACAATATAAATGGCAAACATATTTATATTTAACTGGATATTTTATTTCATTTGTGCCATTAATCATACCATTTTTTACATGTATTTTACCATCGCCACTATATAAAGCAGAATTTATTTCAATTATAAAATATTATTCCTGATGTTTTCGTTGAAACGGAAGATAAAGGATGTTTCATAAGTTCGGAGTATCTCTGTATTTTGACTATAACTTTTTTTCTTTTTAACGTTCAGATATAGTTTTTTTTTAAAAGATGCGCCGTCAAATTTTCTACAAAATGTGTGAAAATTGTGTTTATTCCAAAACACAAAAGTGAAAAAATCCTATGAAACTTCAAAATCGCCAACGTTTCAACTAAGAAAACGGTTTTTGGGGGTTTTATTCTTTGACGTTTTAAGACATGAAAACACTCAACTTATCATTTTGTAGCGCTTGACAAACTCTAGCGTCTAGTTATAAATACACTTCTTCTACAATCCGACTAGTTACATGAGAATTCTTTTGCTTTTAGTCGTTTTGCTTTTTTTATGCATGCTCAGATGGGAGAATTTTTGATAACAATACGCTTTTTTTGTTATTGAAATTTTTAACTTAGAAATATATAAAGCGAGTATGCAAAATATGAGTCTGAACTGATTAGAAAGAAGCTTATATCGTTCAATAAACTGCTAGGATGATTAGTCGAAAGGTTATATTAAGGTTATATTTTATCCGTCTTTGGCCTATTTTTGTCTGATTATTCGAACAATGACGCATCAATCGCAAAAACAATACTTGCTCAGAATCAAAAAAATATACCAACTCCTGGTTGCAATAATCGCTATTTTGTAGAATCAGTTTATCAACGCTTTAAGAGGATAAAAGACGGTAGTTGCAAGAACGTTTTAAAGTGATTTCAGATTTTTCAAATTTTTCTTATATTTAAGTTTTATTAGAGAAAGCGTATTCGATCTAGATTTTGTACTGCAGACTTTGCTCTTTCAGACAAAAAAAAATTAGTTTCCAGTAGTACATTGGAAACATGCAAAAAATATGCTTAATACTTTTCTCTCGTTACTTTTCACTATATGTTATTTCATCTGTATAAATTATTTTTATTCTTCTCATAGAGTTATTGCATTCTTTACATGACCGAACATTTTCTCTAAAAATTGCGGTTATTTGATAACTTTAATTTTTGAAATACTGTGCAGAAAATCATGAATTTTATGTTTTGTGGCAATAGAAAATATCTGCTTTTCGATATTTCATCCGAGTAATTCATCAACAAAACACTATTGCGTTTATCGTTTTTACTAAGAATAGACAGATATCAGAACGAAGAAAAAACAGCTGTCGATATATCTATTTCTTTTGAAGTATCTATCTATACACGAAATTTTTTTCGTTATTTCTGGTCAACAGTCTTTAAACTGTAGACTATTCATTAATCAATTAAGTATCAATAATTCTCTGATCAATAATTGACTATCAATTAAGTAAAGTCTACCAGTCAATTAGTTTAAGTAACATAAACTTTAGGTCACTTTCGTAGAAAATGCTTTTATTGGCACGAATTAGGAACAGGCCCCTAGAGTAGAGCTAGACTTTGCTTAATTAACATTTGAAAGATTGATTTTTCACTGGTAGTGAGTATAGTTCAGATGAATAACAGATAAAAATTTCACTGAGATTCATTCACTAACAAAAAAGTTAATGAAGTACCGTACTTGATGAACAGAGTGGCCTTCTATTATGTTCGGGAAATGATAATTTCAGGACTGGGCTTCTATTCCGTAGAGGAGTTTACTAGACAAGTGTTTGTGAAATTGGAATTTAAAGGATACTTGCTATACTTTTATTTTTTACCGTTACACTACAAACACAACAAAAATCCACAATCAAATAATCAATAACTTATAACGAGAGATATCTAATACAAATAGATTCCAATAAAAGTTTTTGATTATTCAGAATAATTTGACATTTTGTTATTTTTCGATCAGTGCCACCATTTTCATATTTCACTTGTCCGGTAAAATCAATTTTATATTTATCTCCGTTTGTTTGTACATTTGTAATATCTACTTTTACGAATGGTAAATTGTGTGTAGTAGAAATGTGTTCAATAGCATACTTCTTGACAAATGTTTGTATTTTCGGATCATTGATTAAATTTGGATCATCCAAATAGATCGGAGGGCTGTTACAAACCGACTGAAGTACCGTTGTTTTTTTTTCAGCAGTATCTAGTGCAACAATAGCTACGCATTTTTCATTCAAGGATGAAACCATCTGGTCACCTCTAGAAAAACACAAAAGAAAAGGTCTTTTTTTGATATTTTTTTGACTATCAAAAAGAGATTTGTGAGTCTACAGAGAATCGTTGAAAAAAAGTTGCTTTTTTTTAATTGCTCGTTCGATTCTCTCTACAAAACTAAGGTGATGAATTTTTTAAGAAAAGACATCATTGACTTCTTTTTCTAATTTTGTGTGGATAATGGATAATTTCCCCTAAGTTTTCATTATTATATTTTTACATGATTACGATGGACATCAACCGCAGAAGATATGGTAGAATGGGCGACCCTTGGATCCTCATCCTTGTCGCCCTATATATGTTTCAATAGTTGGTGCTCATTTTTAATGAGTTTCTCTACCCATACACTAGTTAAACAATAGTTAAACCTCATACTGTGTGTAAATAATCTAAAGACATTTTAGAATATCTAGTGCAAGTCTGAAGTGAAAATAATATTTCTTGCTTGAGTTATGAAATTTTTGGAAGATGGCCTCAAACTTCAAAAGTGACCCTTGACCGTAAAATAGCTGTATATTTCAGTAACTATTAAGAGCCAGCACTTTAAATTCATGTCGTAGATAGAGAAGAGTCAAGGCTACATTTTGGTAAAACGAAAAAGTTTTCGTCTCTTTTGGGTCAGGAGTTATTAACCTTTGAAACACTTATATCTCACGAACCATCCAGGAAAAGAGGCTTAAACTTGTTGGATGATCAACATTCGGTGGTAACAATGATCACACAAATTTAGACGTCCTAGCTATCATGGTCGAGCAATGGTACTCAAATGGTTTAACGTATTATGATGATGTTTTTAGTCCAATCTTTTATTGCAATATTTTATTTGAAAGAAAAGAAAAAAACTAAAAAGAATGTGCTACTTTTTATTCTAGAAAATGAAATTATGAAGTCGAAAAGATTAAAATTGCCTTTTTTCACATTCTTAAGGGCCGCTGCAGATAAGCCACCACCAACCGTGCTCAATCGACTTGCTTCAAACTGAATTTCAATTACATAGGTGAAAAATATAACTAATACGAAGTTTTTAACCGCAAACCATAACTCTACAATCCAAGTCGTTACTGAGATATTCAAATTTTATATCGGTTCTCAAAATTCTTTCACTCAAATTCAGTCAAAATTCTATCGTTCACCATTCATTATCGCGTGCGTAATCCGCTCAGTAAGGCTCAGCTTTTTTGAATAAGTACTGGAAGGTTGCGGCTATAAAACGGTAAAAGGAAAACTTTGAACTTCCAAGAGGAACGTAAGATACTGAATTTTTAGTGAAATTTCCGATCTTTTACGTTTTTAAACGTTAAAATGATTTTTTACAAAAAGGTAATGAAAATTTGTTTGTATAGGTTATTTTCTAGCCTGAATTCAACAGTATTGTCTGAAATAAGCTCCGATTTGTTCTGGTGAGAGTGTAATCAAGTGCCTGGCTTATTAGTAACTTTGAGCGCTACTTCGACAAAATGACGTTTATTATTATCGATTTCAAATTAAAAGACCCGTGGCTATATTTTGAACAACTTGAGAAGGAAAAAAGATAAAGATCCGCGACTCCCATCTTTTGATAGCCAACAGTTAACGACGCCCTTCCATAAGCAAGAATATTTTGTTAACAGTTTCAAAAACTGATTGGACTGGGAGTCCCTAATGTGTCACTTAAGTACTCCATCTTATCAACATCTTGGAAAAAGATACTGAAGATGGGGTGATTGTTCTAAATAGCTGTTGTAGCCCTGACAATTTTTCTCAAAACTAGCATAAGAGGCCTGAAAAAAGTTACGCTGGAGGTAGGCTGTTGAATTGGCAGGAAGCACAGGAAGCATTTTTAGCTTGGCAGTAGGACATGCGGTTTTTCTTGTTTAAAAGATGTTGCTATAACTTACGAGGGAAGGTCACCAACTGCCACCTCGCTTTTTAGCTCAAAGCTAGTCGGTAATAGGTAAAAAAATGTGCTGAATCCGAATATGACAATGGTTTGGGTCGCTAGGCCTCCAATGACTGGGTTTCTAGAAAACCAGTTTTCCAGAAACTCGAAAAACTCTCCAAAACTTTTCTTAATAAGTTAAAATTGTAGCGCGCGAAATTCTGATCAAAATGAGACATTTCCCAGCTCTACATGACATTTCTTTGCGAAGTTAT